GGAGGGTAGAGTGGAAGCAGAATGGGGAAAAGTCGTTGCACCTTACTAATCGAAACGACAATGCTTCCTCACGAATGTCAATCATCGTAACTTAGCTCATCTGGATGACCAAGTCCCAAGAATGTTTTTGATTTTGTGTTTGGAGAAGAAGTCCAATCTGAGTTGGATTAGCTTGGGTAAAAATTTCAAACTTTCAAGCAAGGCATGGCAAAATATCAATTCTATCAAGAATCCTTTATGAAAAGCCTTGTTTTGGGTATAACAAATCGTGTCGACCGTTGATTGACACTTCACACGATTTGGCTTTAATTGAGCGATTTCATCAATCCGAGAATCTTTGATAACGAGCAAGCACATAGAAGAATTAAGGCAATGTAAGATCATGCCTTAAAGGCACATAGTGGTCATGAATTCCTCTCGGCATCCCATTTTCACCTTTTAGGTTGATTTGATTGAAATGAAAATTAGATTCATGCACGATGAGAAATATTACACATCCTTTAATTGTACAGATAGACTGATAGGTTCGATTGAATATTCTAAATTTATTTCATGATATATAAAAATCCAATAGATTAACACCTAAAAATGTGTACGAACTTACAACTTTACAAGAAAAATTAGCTGAACTTGTCAATTTTACCAGTTCAATTTTTAATATTAAGATTTTTTTCATTAAATTTTCGAATTCTGAAAACTCATTTTTCTTGGTCAATGTTCGAACCGATTTTTAAACACCGAAAAAATATACAAAATATATAATCTTATTCTGTTGTGGTCAATTCAACAAAAAAAGAAAAGTCAACACTAATTAGCCAGCTGATTTGGTAAAGAATACCCAACACATGCCACATTAATTGGTATGGTATCAAATACCAAAAAAAAATGAGAAATGTGCAATTGGATGGTCAAAGCTATAGATAGAAAGTATTTGGTAATTCATTCCAAAAATTCATCCAAATTTGTGCATACGTACCTTTCAAGTTTTTAAGAGTAGTACACACGCTAAGAAAACGAAATTTGGACCACCTTTTTTTTTTTTTAATCTTCCTCGAAGTAATGTAAATTATGTATCATGGTAGACCCCAATAGTAACACTTGTAGCATCTCGACGTAGAATAGATAATTTGACTTTTATGAGTTGTCATTCAAAATTCTCGATCCTCTAGCAAATTCTGGGTGATTTTTACTAAAATCAATTTGAGAAAAATATAAACTCAATTTATCTACGTATTTTAATAACTTTTGCATAGTTAAACTAGCACTCGTGTCTAGTTGGACAAAAAAAAAAACTTGGTCATAAATAATCAATCACAAGTTGGCAAATTGAGACCTATCATGATCCCAGTCAAGTGATCTCAACTAAGGTCGAGTTACATAGAGAAGAAAAACTCATTTCGTATCAATCAATCTATTTTAGTTTTAAGAAATTTCTCTGAAACAACCTCTTCTTCGCAATCAACAGGGCAAGGGATATTTATTATTAGAGGAAGCTTGCTAACTTTATTTTTAGGTTTCGACATAATAAAGTTTGCACTGTCTTTTCGCTCTTAGACCCTCAACTTATGAAACCGCTTAACCATTACGTCGATCAATTAAAAGTAGTGGTGAGGCATTTGTTAAGTCCAAATTATAATTGACAATTTCTAAATTTGTAACTGGCAATTTCGTTAGTCAAAATCAAGTCCTAGTTGAATTGTATTAAGAGTTTATCGAATTGTTAGCGAAGTCAAAATATGAGTTATTGAGTCCTAATTAAAGTCAAAAGAGTTGGGGTTAGTAGTATAGTCCTTGAAAGAGTCCAAGAAAATCACATATGATCAAAGAAATGTAATTAGAAGTCCAAAAAGTGTCAAAGAGCCGCACGAGTTATGTTCCAAATTCTCAGTCACAACTTGCAAATCATGTTTCACATAGAAAACATTGAAATTCGGACAAGGCTATTTCTAGAAGAGTTGTAGCCCCTTGAGTTATATTTTCAACGTATTTTGAATCACTTCAATAGGATATCGGGAGAACTGACGACTGCTCAGCTGTCGGTCTCGAGGGACTAGTCGACGTCTACGATTCTATTTTGCTTCAAACACTTGGTTTTCCAATCGAGAAATGCTAGAGGAACATAAGGGTTCACATAGTATTTGACATAATTGCCAAATGGAGGCCCCCCCACGCCCCCCCCCCCCCCCACACACACACACACTAGGGTACCCCCATTTGTCAATTATGTCAACTCCTATGTCAATCCTTATGTTCCTCTAGCATTTCTGTTTTCAATCCCTTTTCATCCCAAACATTTTTCCCTATATATATTCTACCCTATGAACGTATAAACGGTATTGAATCAGATTTATTCCATTGAGATCAATTCTTTAATGATCCAAAACATTCATTGAGTCTAAGATTCAACCACCATATATTACTTGATCTATAAACTCTTCTAAACATATTTTGTTAATCAAGCCATATTATTTCATATAAAACCACAAGATCAAAACACACATGATCTTTTGATCAAACAACAAACCAGTTAATCTATTGGAGATAAATCGATACTAGGAATCAGGAGTTGTTGCAGAAATACAAATTCAAGAGGACTAAGGTGAGGAACCGAAGCCGGGATCTGGTGTCAAATGCACGCAGTCCGAAGGGTTAAAGTACAAACTATGAGTCGAAATTTATTTTGAAGGAGCACACATCCAGTATGATCAAGACAGATTGCAGGAATTAATGTCAGAAGTTGTACATGGTTGACGGGTTTGAACCGTACTGTAAGTTTGCTTCAATTTATAGTGGATTACTAACTGACAAAGTACCCAAAGTTTTTACCCAATTGGGGTTTCTAATGATCATCTTTAGTGTTCTTTATTGTTTTAATTATTGATTGTGATATTCAAATTTAGGATAAATTGACTTGTTTGATCTAATCATCTAAAAACAATTAAAAAGTGACTTATTACTTTTAGTTGTGTAATTCCACACGTTGGTCTAAATAATTTAAAACTATCAACATTGATACGAAGGTGCGTGAATTCTAATTTAGAATACCATGTGAAACCTTTTTACCTCAGCTATCTCTACTAGATACATACACAACACCAAAGCCAGTTTAGCATTTAAACTCTTAGCTACTAATGCCAAAGAGTGGAGGAAAGAAATATCGATATTAAGCTAAAGTATTTGGAGGTCCATCCATGTTGGTTGAATGTTGAGACATAAATGGTAGTGTAGTGGTCCATTCAAATGCCCATCATGGGCTGTGGGCCTCGTTGGTCCACTGTAGAGAGACATCTTCCAAGAGCGAACCCAATTCCCATCACATTTTCAAAACTACTTTAAGAATAAAATAATATTTTCCATCACNAACCACACATTTCCCATCAAATCACTATTCAAAAATCAATTCTTCCCCAATAAAACCCTACCAAACAAACTAAAAAAAAAAAAAAAAAAAAAAAATCTTGTTCGCTACGTTTAGAGACCATTTGACAGAACTTTTTAAAAAGTTATTTCTAACACTAAAAAATTACTTTCGACCGTGATAGGATAATTTTCTAAATATACTATAAGATTTTTTTTTTAAGAAAAATTGATCTAAAATAATTTTCCATAGGAAACCAGAAGTCTACCAAGTGGACCCTAAGTCCAATAACTAATATTAGATAGGAACTATTTGCATCAAATCAATTAACATCATATTATATAAAAAACATTACTATCAGGAAGAACCAAAAGGCTGTCCAAATAAATTTGAAAAATGACAATTAATTCGTAAGAAAAGAGAGAGAGAAAAAAAAAATTGCGTACGTATATATAAATTTCATTGTAAAAACTCGTAAACACAAATCGTAAACGTCAATATAACTTAAATTCTAGACGCAACCATACTCGATCAGACATGTCAACTGCAGAGTCAACGATATATATTCTTGCTTGCTTGTTTGTTTGGTAAGGTACCATGTCCCGCACTAGACAACCTTAAGATCGAAAAATTAAATTAAAATCATATTGTCAAATACTTTATACCAAACATTTGCTTCTCATTTTCTATTCTTTTTCAGTATTTAGTAGCTTAATTACCGAAAAGTAGAGCCTGGGGTGTACATAGCAAGATCTGCCCAGCCATTGCCACTATTCCAACTGGCAGTTTCATCATCGCCAACCTGCACGTCCAAGAATCCATCTGCAATATTGTTATTTCCACCCTCCAAGTCCAACCTCAATTGTGGATCACCATGTTGGACCGGATCCAGACCTGTGAAGGTACCCGGTTCACAAACCGACACATCCATCTGCAAATTTGTTTCATTTGAGTGGAGCCCATCAAGAAAATTACCAAATCGTCCACTACTAGACCCCAAAAATGAGCTGATATTTCCAAATTGCCCCTGGTAATTATCTGCCTTCAGAGGAAATGTTTCAGTATCTGTTTCACTGACGCTAACCGGTGGTGCTGGTAAGACAGATGATGCAGAGGCGGGTCGTTTGGGGTGGTGGGCAGTGGGAGAGGAGGCGGCAGCGGAGGAGGAGGAAGAGGAGCTCCGCTTGGTGTTCTTCCGGGAGCCGCCACCGACAGGGATGTTTCTAAGCACACCTCCTTTAGTCCAGTACCTTCTACAGCTTTTGCAAAAGTGGCGCGGCTGAGAGAGGTTGTAGTTATTGTAGTAGCAGAATTTGGTGTTTGTAGAATCGCACCTTGGACACTTCAATTGTTCTTGCTCAGGAAACTGTGGCTGTGACTGTGACTGTTGCTGTGGCTGTCGCCCTGCGTTTATATATGTATATATAGACGGGTCTTGCATTTTACGTGATCTGATTATGAAGTGATCGAGGGATATGGAGTGTAATTTCGAGATTCAAAATCAAGAAAGACGAATCAAGAGAAAAATGATAGGAAACTGGAGACAATTCAGGTGCAAATTTGATGAAATGATTGAGTTTCAGGTGTGTTTTCCTTTTCCATGGATGAAAAAAATTCAAGAATTAGAGAGAGAGGGAGTGGGGTAGGAATTCGAACTGTAATTTTCTCAAAGTAAATAATCTCTGCAAGTCCGCGTGGGAAAGACGACCAATAAGTCATACAGATATATAGAGAGAGAGGACGTGTGTCTCTCTTTCTCTCTCCATTCCCACTTCACAGCAGCTACGTGGAAATCTTCAGGAACGGGAAGCGGAAAAATTGCATCTGTCGTCCTCTACTTTTACTTTCTTAAAATTTGTACCTGCAATTTCTAATTGTTGACATCTTAATCTTGAACCTTCTCGTAAATTAGCATATATCATTTTCAGTGATAATGCTGTCCAAATTTACCAGTCATTTACGCAAGTGTCCGTCCCTCGTGTGGGCACTGAATCGAGTGTCGAAAGAGACACAATTTTGAACAAAGACGATGCATTTGATTTAATCACCTGGAAAAGACACTACTAATTCTCCATCTAATTGGGCAACTAAAAAAAAATTATTTTTACTTTTACTTTACGATTATTGACATCTGTTCCAATTAAAGACTAATTTAGTCGAAGTTAAGGGCCTACGGAATAATTTGTGACAAGAATTAAGGTTTTAAAAATACATGTCAAAGTGTTTCTTTGGCCTTAAACATGCAATGATCAGTACTCAAAATTAAGGGTAATTAGCACGTGACGTTCCCACTTTTCACCGTGTGTAAAACGTTCTTACTTTTTATTTTTTGACATTTTCACCCTTATTTCTACATTTCATTACGCAAGAGGTCCTTTGTAATTTTTTTCTTTGATTTAAACATAAAAGTATATTCGTCATTTCACAATTTTTAATTGAGAAAATAGAAGAAAATGACATTTTGCTCAATGAAATGTGAAAATAAATATCAAAATGCCCAAAAAAATTAAAGGTAAAAATGTTTTCCACAATAATAATGAAAGGTACGAATGTTCTGTACTAATTACCCAAAAATTAATCTTAAAAAACAAGACATTTGTTAACAAATTCAATAGAATAAAAGACTTTTTAAGTTCACCATTTAAAAGTACGATTATTTTCCTAGATTGTGATACTAAAATAAAAATTACTTGCAATAGAAGTAAAAGTCAAAGTTTGAGGTGAAGTTACTTATGAATAATTAATATTTTTATTTTATCCATTAAAAACAATAAGTTACTCTAAAATTAATAAATGTACTTCTTTTCTTTAAAAAAGAAAATTATCTGCTTAAAATTTATTGGTAAAGTAAACGTTTTAAGTTTAGCCAAACATATATGCTTGTAGCCAAATGGACAAACACGTTTTTGACATTCTAATTTCGGTAACTTATGATAAAACTCGAACAAAAGCCAAGTCCTTGTTTGGCAAAGGTTTTGGAGATTATAATAAGCTAATGCTTCTCATTAAATGTTTGATTTAAAAGTGAAAAAGATTTACGAGTTTAAATTAAATGTATGATTAAAATGAAATTTTACCAACTAAAAAAAATAACATTAATAATTCAATCAAGTCTAAGTGCTAACAACATTGGAAAAAGCCACGAGTATGGAGAATTTTTTACTGAACTCTTATCGTTGCAGATGTGATCGCAGATGATTGGACTTTTTTTCTCTCTCTCAATTTTTCAATCAATTTTCATCAGGTGTTGTCTGTCAAAGTTTTTTGTCAAAATCTTCTGTGCTTGTAACACGATTGAACAGCATTATAGCTTGGCTTGCATGCTTCAAGTCAAGCCAGCCAAGCCAAGTGGGTAAGGGCCAAATCATCCTTAATCAGCAGTAAAAAACTGCAGAAGCCGCCGTATAAACTGATGAGGAGCGCCAAGCTCCTAACTAAGCTTACGTTGTAACGAAGCAGTGTATTTAGTAAGCAGCATCATTGAGATTCTGCAAGCGCAATCTCCGCCGTCCATGTGTGTATGTGCTTACGACAACCGTCAACTTGTCTATTACCGACGAGGGTGTCGTAAGATAGGGTTGATTTTAAAGGCCGTCACAACACATGTCACCCACCCCGCCGTCCCCCCAAATCCCAAATTGCTTGAGTTGTAACCAGCTACTATTATCAACCAAGACGGCCCTAACCAAACTAGCTACTCAATTTTTGTAGCACATGAGATGTTGCTTAAAAAAAGAAAAAGAAAAAGATCATGCTTGATAATGAACGTACAGAAGAAAAGCTCGTTCAATAAGACTTCTGTTTTTTGAACAAGAGTTTTCAAGAAAGTTACTTTAATCTAACTTTCCTTAAACGTTCTTCTTATCTGACGAAATACTTTCAAAAAATTATCCAACACGTTCAAAGATAATTTTAGTTTCAGAAGTAACTTTTAACTATTCAAAAATCATATCAGACTATAAGAGAAGTAGGTAGAATGCGCTATAACATGTAGAACATATATAGGGTCTATTTACAGCCTTACAAGTTGTACATCTCGAATGTATTATTGATCTAGTCTTAATTCAATATTGTCATAGATGAAGCGTATTCCCTAAGAGTAGAGGTGTCAAGACGGACGGACCGGCCATGACCCGTAAAAAGAAAAGGAAAAACGATGGGAACTAGGAGAGTACGAATGAGCGGCCGAGCTTAAAATTTAAAAGTAAAAATAAAAATGAAATAAATATCTAGTTAAAGTTGAATGTCTTAAGTACGAAGTAGTTGAACTATTACATAAATTGTTTTTTGTCTTGGCTTAACAAGGAAGAAAATTAAAAGCATAATGATGCAAAAAGGCGGGGCCATAGAGAGAGTTGGGTCCCACCCACCCACCTGGCCCGTCATCAGCATGCGAGTTTAGTGTGAATCGAAGTGATTTGAGTGAGTGAAGAATGACAAAATGGTGCAGTCACGTCATGTCCAAACCCCGCATGAAACACGGCATCCCTCACAAAATAATGTGAACACAAATGCAGAATCTTAGAATATAATCATCAATCATGCTACAAGTACTGGGCCCATGTCACCTTGTACAACCATTATACCATTCCTTCTAATTGAGAAACAACTGTGTAATTTATCTTGTTTTTGAAAATGCACTTAGAACGGTTCATATTTAATAAAACAAATACATATAAATAGAAAGAAAATGTCTGTATATATTTTTTTTTTATCGAAGCATTATCATTAAATAGAACAATCCACCCATATTCAGTTAGCTAAGTCAACAATAGCAAACAAAACTAACTCATGGACCATTTTGTTTTTCTCGCGGCCAACTTTACCAGATAAGCCACAATATCGACAATACAATCTCGTTGTGTGCTAAACTAAAATTGAACGTCAAAGATTGGACCACTCTCAAGTAGCTTAAGGTGGTCATTAATGACAAAGAAATCAAATTTGAGGTAACCTTCAATTGAAGCACAAAAAAGTTGTGATCTTACAAGAAATTTAATTTCAAACTACTTTTCATATGATTTTTCAAAAGTACCTGATTTTAAGGGTATTTGTCTAAGGAGCCCCTTCTCAGGCAGGCAAATCTATTCCTAAAAGCCCACATGATTATACATAGCATATGGGCCAAGCTCACGGCACAGCCCATCGCGAGCTGCACCAATCTTTTGCACAAATCGGGCCAGAGCCCAATACATCTTAACACAGAATGCATGCAAAATATACAAATCTATCGAAGTCAAAAGTCTTGATTACTTTTACAAAAAAGAATACTTGACGAGAATTTTATAAACAACAAGTAGACCAAAATCATCCTACAAAGAGAGAACAAAGACACTATTCTACCTAAGAAAAGTCTATGAACTTAATGCCCCGCAAATTAGCAGCAGCAAGAAGATTTGAATTCAACTACAAAACCACGGGACAATATACGGCATCCTTCTTTGTTTGGAGGATGGTACAATCACATTCTTTCCTGGCTTCGACCCAACACTAAGAACAAAACACATATTTCCTTTCGAGGAGATATGGAGAACAAATAAAAGAAATAGAGGGCGAAGCAGAAAAGTTAACCGACCAAAGAAAACCAACCTTCTGCCCGGGTACGAGCACTGAAAGAATGTGCTACAGGTTTACAAGGCACTTTGATGAGCGAGAAATTGTGGAGCCTCAATTGCTTGCCAAAGAAGCGTTCTTATATAGCGACCCAAAATTTTTAACCGATTTGAGTACTGGCTTTTTATGCATAATACATATACAAGCTATTTGCAGCAGCACAGGCAATAGAGTTTTCAGTCGGGTGCCATGCCAGGTGAAGCAGTTTGGTAGTAGAATCAAATGAGTTTCCATTGGCATCAACTCCTGGACTTTCTGCAACTGCAGTAGAGAATCCAACGTTCATTGAGTGGAGAAAAGGAGGAAAAAAAAAACACTAAAACTGGAATTGCTTTTGAATGTCTGGTTGAACTAAAGAAGGCAATTGGTAGGTAAAGAGAAGGGGAAGAGGACAAGAAGAATACCTCGCCTGACAGCACGAGTTATGCTGCTTAGGCCTCTCGAAGTCCTTGAAGGGGTCTGGACTAGCCTTCTGAAAGGGAAATAAAACGGATTATGCTGTAACAATCACATTAACACGAGACTGATATGCCAAAATTGATCTTAAAAGGCTACCTCATTGGATTTTTGCTAGCTTCCAGAGTAGTTGCTTCAGTACTCCCCGCATCACATCCAAACACGCGAAATAAATTGCTGAAATCATGTCAAGCCTTTCGCAGAGATGCACAAAAATGAGAAACAATGTGAATGGAGCAAATGAGAGACTCGATCGTACCTGTAAGAACCAGTTGCTACTCGCTGACCATTACCGCTCAGGCAACATTCGAATTTGTCAAAAATGGAATCATTTTCATACAAATCACACAGCTAGACATTATCATATTACAAAGATGTCAGCTCCCTAGTGCAACATATGCAGCAAAAACTCGGGAATAATTTCCCATAAACAAAGCTATTCACCTTGGGTCTCAGATGCTCGTGAACCTGGAAGGTAGCCACTGGACCAGAATCCATATTAACATCCCATAACTGAAACCAAGACAGACTGGAAAGTGACAGACCTAAACTGAAACCATACAGGAAAATGAATACAAAGAATAGGTGTGTGCTCCAAAGAAACTGATCTACAAATCTTCTTCTGCCGCAAGAAGCTGTGGACTATGGCCAATAAGTGAAATATTCCATAATAAGTATTTCTGCTAGATTCTTTTATATCTTTAGAGCCATGCTTGAGATTCCCATACATTTGCAATTCTAAATGAAACTTAATGAATGCCAAACTGCATAAATAGTTTCCATAACTGTCATTGTTTGCATAAACCCAGCAGGAAGCAAAACCAAGCATGTCCAAATGATAAAACATAACCATTGAGAAAGATTACAGCATTACAAACAAAATAGAGATCGAAGTGAGGAAATAAACTATAGAAGATTGAACACCTTAAGGGTCATGTAATCACGACTAAGTATGTGTCTTCCATCTTTTGCAAACTTGATATCTGAAATTGAAGCTATTATCTCGGTGAAAAATGATCTTGAACCAGATGCCTCCTGTTCCTCAAATCTGAATATGAATGAAAAAATCAATTCTCATGTAAAAAGAGCAGTAGAAAGTAACATGGTTAATATATTTTTTTTTGGAGAAAGCAAAATGACTTAGAATTTCCAATACCATCAACTTTTGACTTCCCATTCTGGACGATTAATTAAGTTCAAATGTTATGCCAACATGCAACAGAAATCAGAAGCAGAACACAAAAATAACCACAAATACACTTACATTTTAGAATGTAAATCACACAATGCAGATTGCCGCAAATCAATGAGACGAATTGATCCTTTGGAACTGCTGTATGCTAATGTGTTACAGTGAGTAGGATGAAACTCTGCTGATGTTATCACCTCTGTAATAAGCAAAAGTAACCGATCAAGTGAAGAAGTTGGATGAGTATAAATTGATTTAACCCAGTAAGTTGCAACGTGAGCTCCTAAAATATTTTCATCATTTTAGATAGTATAATAAACTGAATACATTTCTTTTTATGAGACGTGATTTAGTTACGTAGATGGGTGAGTATAATTACATTAAGAACAATGGCAAAAGCTCCATTCCTGGTGTTCTTTGTCACTAAGAGAATTATCACAATCAAGCATTTAAAGGGGATGAGAAACTGGCTTACACTAAATTGCGAATGTACTCTCTGGAAGTTCGAGACAGAAAAGGACTTACCAGTTAGATCCTCCATATTTGTTAGCTTAATATCAACGATATTGAAACTTCTATTACTTATATCCAAGTTCCAAAGATTTATTCGCAGATCATCAGCTGATATAAATGTTTCATCATCACTGGAAAGCATTATAAACACATTTTAATTACTAATATCAAACACCAGAAGTTCTTTTGATAACTTGGTCAACAGTAAATAGTATATCTTGCAGGTGAAGACATTATAACTATCTGGACACAAAGAGTAACTCCACAAATTTGTGCACTTTAAGAGTTCAAGGCTTCATTAAATGTAGTCAGACAGAAAAATAAAAGGCGCTACTGACTAAGCTCTTGGCAGAATCCAGTGCTTGCAAGGTACTGTTCGCATTTATCAATCAAGAAATAATGGAAAGATAAAACAAGATCAAGTGAACAATGTATCTGTGTACTAACTGTCAAAATAGGATATGAAATTGGGAGGCTCTATGAACTTTACATATAACTATACATATACATTCAAAATGACCAAATTCAATGACGTAAAATCTCCAAAGAGTCTATCATTTTCACTTTTTGAAATAGATAACACTAAGTGACAGCAAAAGGCAATAATCCACACCGTTCCATGTGTATACATTCATTTTTCTCTAAATGCTGCTTTGCTACAGGAAGCGCCTAGCAGGGAAGAAGGGTGGCAGATAAGCACAGAGAGAAAGGACGCATGTATATGACCACAAGTCAATGCCATCAAAACTATTTATTGTGCATCGTTCAAGTCAAGTATCCGAGGAACAAGTAAACACGTATTTGCTCAGATGTATTTCCTCAACTCATGCCTCAGAGGTCAAAGTCTAGCTGTTTCCCAACCATAAATGGATAAACTAACCCACCCAATATTGGACAAAAAAAAATATTGCAAGAACTAATAATAGACTTGCTTTCCATCCTCTAGCTTGAGCTGGAAAATAGCAAGAGGCAAATAAATTAACTGAACTGCCGAAATCCAGGCATGGTAAGACGATGAGACAGAAAAAAGTCAAGATACATGTAGAAGTCAGTATTCATTATTCATCAATAATTGTAAACTTTAGAACCTCACCTATTAGTTGAAATAGAATTGATATGGTAGTCATGTGCATGAGCGTATACTCTCCTACATCTTGCGACAAGACTGGTCTCATTGCTTGTGACCTACAGATTGCGTAAATCGAGAGTTATAAATAACTGTCTGAGTAATGTGACAATGGAAGATTCTTAGCACATAATACTGACACCTAGCACATGTCTATGTTTGGCATTCCAAGTGAATGCCTACACAAACTTTCAGAATGGCAAAGGTACAGTTGTAGGTAGAGCAAGTCCCAGAAAAACTAGCAGTAAAAAATAAAAATATTTGATTGTTCATTCAGTGATTGAAACATAGGATTCAAATGACATGTTGAAGGATTTTTCACTTTCTAAACATACAACTAGAATTAACCCAGGATCAGTTGCTATGCATAACGTGCTTTAGAGTGGAGAAAAACGCCAATAAGAACTATGCACATAAATCTTCAGATTTGCGGAACACAATAAAAAAACGATGTATTCTACAGATACACCATTGATACTGGAATACTAGAGCATAATTAAGTACAATTACCACTGGTAATCGCAGTGAGGAAATGGTCGGGGGAGGAAAGGACACGTCTTTGCTCAAGCAGTTGTAAGATTGATCTATATAGCCCCCATTGGCAAGATTGTGAGTAGGACTAGGAGAAACATTTGCATTAGCAACACTACCATTTCCTGCAACTTTGGAAGGATCAACATTCATCACAGAGATTTTCTTGACTTTCTTCTCTTGGACCTGTATAATTGAAAACGAAGACTTGCAATTATCAAACATTCTACGATTTTACTGTTCTCTATCTCAAAACTGAACCGGTTGGAAGACAACGTCACAAAAAAATATTAATATAACCAGCCGATTGATTATGTGCTTGAATCAACATAGTAAAATGTCTCCAATTGGACTTCATTCCGCTAAAGAAACTACGATAAAGAAGGAAATCGTTTCAAGATCGAGCACTTCCAAACATACAAGACCAATATATTTTTCTCCCATATGTAAATTCAAAACATGCTCAAACTACTAAAACAAGAATCTGAACAAGTAATCATTGAAAGTAAAAATGAATTTGATGATGCAGACAAGGGCACAACAAATCTCATCACCTAGCATGATAAGAATGACACATAAGGATCTTCAGAAAGATATTGAAGGAAAAGAAAACTGCTAAAATCCACAATCAAGATTTTGCGCATTAAAAAACAAGAGAATCAAATCTTTTCCACACTGCACAAGAAATATAAGACTTGAATACCATGAAACGAGGGCACCGAAAGTCCCCTTTTACAATGAGTAAAGATGAGCTAAGTACAATAAGTTATTTGTCCTCTTTTACGACCATAATGATGACCAAATAAAATAGTGGAAATCAGATATTTCACCTTCCAAAACTTAATGGTTTTGTCATTAGTGGACAGGAGAAAGAGGGCACTATTAGCCGTCTGACACCATCGGATCTTATTGATTTTCTCCTTGATTTCCAAACTCTTGAGATAATCAAACTGAAACGAAAAAAACACAGATACGCTCATTATAGCAATTCAAATTTTCTGTTTTTCCCCGTTTGACAGGGAGGAGCATGAGAAAGCACAGGAGCAATTACATGTAATCTCATGGGTACCACCCAAAGAGAGAAGATAGGAGAGGAGGCAGAAGTTAAAATAAATACCTCAAGTTCATGGCTTTGAAATTCAGTTTTGTACCGAAACTCTGGATTTCGCCTAACTGGGTAGTCCATTCTCTCCAAATCTCTTCGATTTCCACCATGCTGCAAATTAATTAAAAACACAAAGTGATATAAAAGACTACTGACTCTTATCAATAAAATAAATTCCTTCAATATTTTGGAACCACACCTCTTTCATATCAGTTTTTTCAAATAACACAACCCTTCCCCCACGGTCACCGGTAGCAAGGTGGTCACCAGTTTTATCAAACTCGATAGCAGAGATAATATCAACTGCAAATTAAAAAGAAGTAAAACTGCAAATTAAAAAGAAGTAAATTTTTTAACTACATGTTCCAAGTTCTAAATGTAATTCTCAACCAGGAGTCATGGCCAGGTATTATATGTTAACATCAACTATAAGATGTTCTTCTCTGTACAATAACTACAAAGAGAAAACACTAAGTTCAAAAATATGGATAAACTTTGTTTTTAACATTAAATTATAAACACACGCACTGATTCCAACGCTAGTCATACAATATGATTCAATATCGATCAGAAATGCACTCAAAAGAAAGAACAAGTAAAAACATGAATCTCGAGTTCATTATTTCTAATGTACAGATTTCATCCTTTGGAAATCTAACTCAAGTTTGAAAGATCATTAAACGAGCCAGTCTATATACGTGCCAAGCTAGAATGCTTTCCACAAAGGTATCCAAAACTTGCATCACTCTTTTAATCTGTGTGAAGCTAATTTATAAAACACCCATGCACATCCATTTTTGCATGGGAGAGATAACTGAAGTAACTTAAAAAGATGTTGTAAAGCTCTCTGTAAGGTATTATACCACCCAGATAAACTACCTTATTATTATTCATTGAGGTCAGTGTTTGTCGTATAACACTACAGCACATCAAGATTACACTACTCTATACACTTACCCACTTTCTTCAAGTGCAATAGTTTGCTCCATTCCATCTAGTACATCACACGTGCAAGTAACATAAAGTTGTACAGCTATAACCTAAATTAGTGACATAGTCGATGTATGGTAAATTACTCGAACACGTTAAATGAATACAATAGCTGATAAAGGTGCGCGCAAGCTGGCCCGGACATCCACGGTTATCAAAAAAAAAAATCCACATTTTTCTCGCTCAAACTTCTATAAAGGAACATCGGCATTCTTATTTTTCTCTCTCCAACTTTTATAACACCAGTGTATAACATGATCCATAAATTGACAAGGTGTACTAAAACCACGTGCATCATTTCAAATCTTCCCACAGTTCAGACTTTGCTCCACTGTGCCTACATTTGGAAAGCTCTGTGGGATTTCTACCTGCACAAGAACAGGAGTTTTTGCAATTCGATGATCATTTAATAACACAAATCACATTCCTAAACACAGAAGGACTTTCAGATTCCAATGTTGTGTAACCATGGTTGCAGAAAATGCCAAAACCAAACAACCTCAAGCTTGCTGCGGTTGCTACAATTGGACAGTACAATACAGTGATACACATTACTGAACAATACTGAAATTGCCATGTGCAGATGATAAACAAGAAACGTATCACTGTTAAAAACTAAAATTCAAGTCATAAATCAGAATATATTCTTCAATCACACTGCAGACACCATTACAAAGATCCAATGCTAAAGCATAAGAAAATTTTGGGGCACCAGATCGTGGAATGACGTTTGAAACAGTACAATCAAACAAACGTTGAACTCAATTGAGTTCAACCCATTTCGCAGAAATCCCTAACCTAAATCCATACCGACAATTAATATTAAATGGAGTTCCATAACTAACTATCATCCAGAAAACAGATATAATTCACATAAAAAGACCCTAATCACAAGATATAAACACAAAGTGTGCAGTTTAATTCACTTATACATTTAATTAAGCAGATTATTTACCTTCTTGTACTTCTTCGCCAGCAGTGCGCTCGCCAAAGACCTGAGAAAATTTCCAATCGAGTGGAGGCTGAGGACCCGCAGAAGAAGCCACCGCCTCTCCACCATCACCCCCGTTCATTTTCCCTCCCTCTCAAAAGTCGACGATCGAAAATATCCACTAATAAATGCTAATTAAAATACAAAAGACAAACAAAATCTCCTTTACCTTCACTTCATTAAATTAGAAAACAAAAGGATTACAGAAATCAATCCGATCAGCGTAGATTTTATGAATTGGAGAGTCCATCCAAAGAAGACAAAGATCGGAGCAACAGCTTCATTAAAAGCGATGGATTCAGATTCAGAGTGCACCTATGCAATCTCGATTAGCGCATAAAAGGATTCAGACTTTCTCTCTCCACCTATAGATGCACAATTTATAGTGAGAGTGAGGAGAAAATGTGAATTTGATCATACCGTCCTTTGTTTCCTCACAGAACTCTCTCTCTTCCCTCCTTTTTGTATTTTCCGAGGACCCACTAATCTTACCCAAACAAAATCCAACGTTGATGTAAAATCGTGTGATGTTAAGGGTCTGTTTGGAAGACATAAAAAATAAGCAAGAGGATTGGTGTCAAAACGAGCTGGGTAGCCAAGTACAGCCGGCCGTTATAAAAATTATAATTTATTTTTCTATTTTTTTTTTGTTATTAATCACAATTTCTTCAATAAAATAATATTACACGTAAATATAAAATTTTTCCTTCTTTTTTAACTATGCCCTTATTTGGTAGAGATTAAAATCAAATCTTTAGTAGATTTTGATAAAAATTGATAAAATGTACGGTGAAAAGTTATAAATCTCATGAAATGTGCAGTTAAAATTAATTCTTGACTTTAATCCAAAAAATTACCATTTCAAAACATATTTTTCCCAAAATTTAATTAAAATGGAGGCCATACAAGGGCTCAGTACAATTTATTCCGATTTAGCCCCTATTTGACACACATTTTATCAAAATACATTCTTTCAAAACTCATTTTCAACTACACATTATTCAATAAAATAATATTTTTCACCACATCGATAAATTTTTCTTACTTTTTAATCACATTTTTTTTATCATATCACTATTTAAAATACATATTTTCCTCGATAATATCTATCAAATACACCATTAGAGACTGATTGAAGCCAATTAAATCATGTCTGAGTCGGTTCGCCAGTTGAATTGCAATAATAGATGGCATCATGCTCTGAATTTTCTAGTCGTCGAACGAGATATGTGGACCGATGAGAGAGAGAGAGCCGCTTACCGTGGACCGCTTACCATAACAAGTCTAAATCAGGGCTGAATGCAGTCAAAACCCGTCTAACTTGACACCTTTGCGAAAAAGACTTGCACACAAATAGAGTATTGAAAGATCTGTGCAAATGTTCTCCCACATTTATAAATTGAAATTTATTTAAAAAGTAAATTTGATCCATTTTTTGGCTTGGCCAAATGGAATAAATTCACTTTTCTTCGTAGATAATGAAAAATAGAGGACAGATGATTCTCCTTCTTGATTTTTTTTTCTATATTTTCCTTTTCGAAAAATTTCAACACTCTAACTTTGATGATTCTTTGATGATCCGATCATATCTCGATCGTGACCAATTACCCTGTTCTACAAAAGATCCATTTGTATACAACAATCGACTTTTATTCCCCCACACGAAGTTCTTATATTGGTATGTGACATTTAGGAGTTGACAGGTGGTGACGATGATTAGGTTGAAATAACATGAATAACCTTTGTCATATTATTTTGATATTTCCTTTTAAAAAAATTGTTTTTATCCATGAGGTTAGATGAATTGGGTAGAGAGTTTTTTTCCTTTTTGAAATAGATATTTTTATGGTCAAATATGATGGAAGCCTAATTTGGTCACATCAAGGGAAGTCTAGTTTCAATATAGGAAAGATTTCATAACTAAGAAGTTTAGTTTTACCAATTTCAAATTTAAGAGATTATATTTAAAATTTTAAATCTCAAAGTTTTTTAAATTTTATTTTTAAATTAATTAATTAAACATATATTTTATTAATTAAATAAATTAAATTCACAATTTCGTATAATTTGGTCACAAATTTCTTATAACTGATCACATATTATTAATTAGTCACAAATCATAATTTTCATATGGCACAAATCATTTTACGGCCACAATTCAAAAAATTTATAGGTCATAATTTGTTCATCGATAACAAATCAAAAATTTATACGTCACAATTTATTCATCGGTCACAAATCTATCAAATTAATAAGTCACATATTATTCATTGGTCACAAATCACAAATTTTATGTCACAATTTTTTTTATGGTCATAAAGCATCAAATTAATTGATTACAAATTATATTTAGATCACAATTTATCAAATTATTGATCACAAATTAATAAATTTTTAGGTCACACAGTATGCATTGGCACAATTTATCTGTTTCATTAGTCACATATTGTTTATTGATCACACACAAACAAATTTATCGGTCACAATCAACCAAATCATTTGTGACTACCACTAACACTTATGACCACCAATGCACCGTTACAACAGCCTAAACAATCGTCGTCAGAACTACCAACACCGCACAAATCCACCGCACACCTCACCACCCACATCACACCACCACCACCTTCTCTATCTCCATTTACACCATACCTACCACCACCTTACCACAGATCCACCGCCAAGCCCACACCGCACATATCCACCACCACCACATACCGCCAAACCCACACGGATCCACCACTGCCATGCCCACACCGCACCCGCCAACAAAACCACATCCACCACTATATCCAACAACCCACAACCTCACCAACACTACCACATCACTGCTGATAACATGAGCACCGCCACCCACATCACCACAAAGCACTCGATCTGGAAGAGGAACTAGAAGCAGCGCTACCGGAGTGGAAGCAACAGACGTCAGAAAAATGGTCGATCCAATGAGAGCACATGTCGATAAGCACCAGTCCCCAACAACTAAGGGCAAAGCCAGGAAATTAATTGAGGGTGGGCACAATTTATCGACGTTGAACGTTGAGTTTTTGGTTATGGATTTAACGATGATAATAATAATATAAAACAATATTACGACAATACTAAAAATAACATAATTTATAAATTACACTTGTTCCTTTTGAGTTTTCATATTTTGATATCGTTGTACTATGATAATCAACCAAATCAAACTGAAACTATGATAATCAAATTCAACATCTCAGATACAATCATACAAAGCAAAGACATTAGACATGAGCTCCAAATTCACCAAATCCAAGAATCCGACCAAGTCTAAGTTGAAGTTCCAACCATTCCAACATAACACTGCCCAAACATTATTCATTCACCAAATCAAACACCAATCCAATCCATTCCAACACAAGTTACACAACACTGTCCAAACCTTCTTCACAGAATCACAATTGCAGTCCACAAATTACAGTCCATAAATGATAAATAAACAAATCCACAAATTCATCAAAAAGTTTGAACACAACACAATTGTACAAATACTTTGAATCAGTAACGGAGCCAGCCTCTTGGACCAGGCTGCCCTCGAATTTTTTTTTTTTTGGATACCTTATTAACAAAAAGACCAATTAACATTTAAAATAAAGTGCTTCTTGAGTACTAATCTTTAATTTGAAAAGAGGCAATGATAAGGAATTATTTGGCAACCAACCTCAAAATCGCAGCCTCCAGCCTAAGTTCACAACCCCTGCCTGCTCTCAAATTTCAATGATTCTGGTGGAGAGGGCGACCCCTGCTCTCAAGTATCTGGCCATCACAAAAAAATCACACAAATCGTCAAACATTTAATTATAACATGTGATAACTTAATAAGAGTGAGAGGAAAAACTTACTTCATGTTGTGCTGAAACGGCTTCATAGGATGGAATGGAGTATAGGTCGGGACGTAAAGAGGTTTTTGTGGGATTCAAGGGCGGAGGGGGGTCCTGGGGGGATGCAAAGAGGTTTCGGAGTTGACTGGAAGTTGGACTTGGGCGGAATAGGGTTGAACCTGGAATTGGGAATAGTTTTCCAGCTTGTATGTCTCTTTTACCAAAAATCGATGCCCTTTTCGACTCCAAATCAGTAGAGGCTATTCGAACTGGAGCAAAGGGAATATAGGGGGGCGGAGTAGTGGCGACTGTGGAGTAGGGTTGAACTGGAGAAGGAAGATGCGAAGACGCGGATGAAGACGCTGAGGGGTTGAATTCAAGGGAAATCGAAATGGGAAAAGATTGAGGGCTGGGGTGTTTTGTTTTTGGAATGGGCCACTGGGTAGGTTGTATTGGGGCAAGTCTTGGGCTGGGATAAATTAGTTTTTTTTAAAAAAAAAATTGTAAGCTAAATGGGTTGAGCCCAGAAGTTCAGGATGGGCCTGTGCCCATCCTGGTCCTTACTGGGCTCTGCCCCTGCCAGCAACACTGCCTCCAGTGGAAGCAACAGATCGTTGAAAAACGATCAATCCAACAAGAGCACAGTTGTCGGGGAGAAGACGGAGAGAGAAGAGAGGGACAGAGAGTGAGTGAGAAGGGAGTGAAAAGAGGTGGAAAATTATAAGGTCTGTCAGTTTGGAATGAAATTGATTAGGATTTCTGGATTTGGGATGAAAATTATATAATTAATATTTAATATTTAAAAATAAAATATCTGATTTTTGAAAGTGAAACCCTATATCTGAAATTTGAAATTAAATCTTAAAAACTCTTGTTTTGTGTAATTTCCTCTTCCATCTATTAGACTGGGCTAAAGTTTGCTGACCAACCCACATTTTGTACACTCTTGGACCAGCTCGAAGCGAGTAATACTGGACCAGACGTTGCAAAACCACTAAAATAGTTTTTGGCCCGTTTGGGGATTTTGGGTCTTATACTATAATTGAAATCTATTTGTGAACAATGGCCCACCAAGCATGAGTTGGTCCTGTGGGATGTACTCATCTAGTAGCAAATTTTTTAGTCCCTAACCTTACGTAAGTGTGATATTCATGTTCCTACACTACATGTCACTTGTTGCAGTCGTATTGCCAACCTCTTAAAATTGTGGATGTTGTGTCTCGAATTAGTGGAAAACGTCCAAATAAAGGTCCAATGATTACGTGACGCTTATTTGTGTCGGACTGAAAGTTTAAAATTATTTACAAAAATTTTCTTTATTAAAAAAATCAAACGACAACTTTAATTTTTATTTAGAAATTCAAATGGAGTAAAATTAATCAATGTTTGTGAAATTCACCCCTTTGCTTCAACCCATTCTTCGCCTCACGTGGGTGTTATGTGGTCATTTAACGCTTGAGACATGATTGCCATGGTTTTAAAAGGTAGGAGACATGGACATAGCAAATGGTATGTTGATCACATAGGCATTACCAGTAAGGAATGGTTCTTAAACTTTTAAAACTTAAATGACAGAGTTGTTTATGTGGTAAAGTAACTATGGTAGGTTCAATCTATTTGAAAAACAAGTGGCACAACCATACTTTTGACACGTGTCTAGTGTACATCGAATTTAAAAAAATAAAAATCTTATATCATTACCTTTGAATAGAAATGCTTCAATACAATCACACGGGATTGGGTTCTTAAAGTTACACCAGGCGCACTTATAGTGATGAAAGGTACTAGAAAGAATAACTTGTACTATTTTCAAGATACTATAGTTTTTGGATTGCAAAGACTAAAGTGTGCAAACCATGACATCACCGAGCTATGGTCTATGAGATTGGGAAGTGCATGTGACAAAGCTTTGCATGGATTGGTAAAGCAAGGTGTGGAAACTTGCAAACTAGAATTTTGCGAACATTGAATCGATTATCAGAAGAAGAATTAGGTCAAAAATTAGTTCCAACACATTCAAGGTATTCACTCCGATGTTTGGGGAATGACTGAAACAACTACGTCACTGAGAGGTACACACTACATATGTACCATGTTGTTTAAAGTATGTCATTCTGAAGAAATTGCACGAAACTTCATAGTTAGAAGCACACCAAAACAAAAGGGGTGGCGAAATGCATGAATCGGACTTCTCTTGAAAATGTTCGGTATATGTTATCCAATTCTAGGTTGAACAGAGTATTTTGTTTTGGGCCAAGGCATTTGTACGTGCGCAGCCTGGCGACTTGTGCAGTTAATAGCATAACACCCACTTAGGTGTGGTTTTGTAAACGTGCAAATGATGACGATTCTTTACATGTTTTTTTTTTTTTTTTTGTTCTATCACTGACTATCATGTAAAAGAATAAAAACTGGATATGAGGGAAAATAAAGTAATGTTCATAAAGAGTCAGCTAAAAACAAAGGGATAGCATCCTTAGTACCAAAATATTCGATTTTACGTGGAATCGCAAATCTCAAGTTTGTCTGTGAAGAGCGAATCAAATTATATTAGTGTCTATAATTGATTTCTTCTGCAGCATAGTGAAGTTCCTATTCACCTTCAACAATGAAGGATGTCTCTAGAGATTTAACGGTCAACGAGGAAGAGCAATCAATGTTCACTAAATCCCACCTCGTGAGATCATTTGTAATTGAACTTCAATTTTGTTTAATTGGATAACTGCACTTTAATATGATATTCAGTAACTATACTTTTATTTGATTTTAATCGGGTTACGTACACTTTAATCTCATTTCAATTAAGGAAACTTTGTCCAATATCATTGACAGAACCGATGATTCAATGATGAGATGACCACTAAATGATGTTAATCACACATAGCCATTAACTGCTCATGTGATATATGTACAACTTCCGTAAAATAAACGATTGTCTTCATTTTGACTACACATTCAATGATTTTCGTTAATCTAAGTGACGAAAGTCGATGGAGTTATTGGATTGAAATCAAATTAAAGTGTAGATTTTCGATTAAACAAAATTGAAATACGATTACTCGATTGACACTAGACTAAAATATAATTGTCACAAATGGAATTTACTCGTTTAAATACAAAGAGCTTCAAATTTGTAATTGTCGAGGCAAAATAGTCTATGCATGTAAACCAATTTCCTACACCTATGACATATCATTAGGGGATTGTTTGACATGACTTTGAAAAAGTCAAATGTTACTTGTGAGCTGATTTAAATAATTTTCTCAAAGTATTTGATTGACTAGAAGAGATTTTAGGGGAAATTGATCCAGCGTGACTTCCTTTCCTTTAAATATATTTCTACAAAAAGTAAAATTTGAAGTTGTACAATGCATGTTTTAAAAAACATCAAAACACACTTAGTTCAATTAAATTGCAAATAATATAAAGTTTTTTACGAGAACGTGGTTTTGGCTAATATGCAACGGAATGCAAAAGTGAGCACAAAAGAGTAAGCAGCTGGTTTCACTAGAGATAAAGCATGCATTATTGTAGCGTATTATATTCAAGACAACGGGATTTTATCACGTAACAGATTTTTTAAAAAGTGTGTATAATCTGGGACGGAGTAAAGATTTACGTGGAAAAACACAATGAACAAAGTAGGAGAATTCAATATAAGATGAAAGAAACAAGATTTTGTGATTATAACTTGTCATTTTATACAGTGAAGAGCCAACTATATATAGAGTACGTATTAAATCCTAAAAATAGTGTTTTAGATGGAAAGAGCGTCCTAAAATTCGTCAAAACGCAAAATTGGCAGTGTGCCGAATGATACTGGTGCTCGAGCAGCACGCGGCACCACTCGAGCGCCCAAACTCGCAGCGGGCGGTGCTTCATTTGGACGGTCAGGCGATAAATCTCTGTCCAAATTTGTTTCTTCACCCCGAATGGCACCTAGGTGCTCAAGCGCCCAATCTCTACCCCAAAATTTCTTTATTCGTATTTTGACCTCTTCAAAACCCTTTTCAACCAAAATGCAAATTTTCAATGGAATTTGGGTCATAATTCAACATTGGGTGGTCGCTCGAGCGGTCGTTAACTTTTAAATGTATATAAATAATTTTCTGAAAATACTTAATTTTCCTAAGAAAGAATTGATCTGAGTTAACTTTTTTTAAAAATATTTTTACCAAAAGTAGAAGTAAAAATATAAATCCTACCAAACATATCACCAATGTCACGAATTTTGTATATTGCATGTGCATTGTTGCTTTCCAGTTTGAAAAGGCACTTGACAAAAGAAACAACTTTTGCACCTTTGTTCAGATTACACTTTCCATTGTGCGTAGTTTAGTAAGAAAAAATATTAAGGGCTCGTATGATTCTCATTAATGTAGAATGAGAATGAAAAATATAGCCGTAATTGAAAGGGCCCGTTTGATTCTCATTATTGTAGAATGAAAATGAAAAATATAACCGTTATTGGGTCCCACACAAGATATAGAAATTCAAAATTGATGGCTTGATGTGATGGATAACGGTCATATTTTTCATTTTTATGAATGAAAAATAAGCAACAAACGGAAGCTAAATCCATGTACCGTTCGATGTGAAAAAAAAAAAATCAATGAGTAGATTGTGATTGAGATTCCACCACTTCCACTTAGGTTGTATAAAATCATGGGAGGTTCCGTACAACTATATCCTATCTAATATACCTAATACGTGTCGCATGTTTTTCACTATTCTAAACCTAATTTCATAAATTCATTTTGATAATGATTAAACACTTACGTATGCTATCACGACAAACTGATGTCAAAGTTGATCGATCTAATAGTATTTACTTGTCTAACTCGTCTCCAAACTCTTTAAATGAGATTGCGTTTGTTATTTTACTGACGTAAATAGATAATCCTTAACGTCACGACATCTTTTTCCTTCAAAATAACCAAGTCCCGTACCCTACTCAAAATTCTTGATTTATGGCCCGTTTGATTCTTATTATTGTAGAATGAGAATGAAAAATATAGTCGTTATTGGGCCCCACACAAGAGATAGAAATTCAAAATTGATGGCTTGATGTGATGGATAACGATCATATTTTTCATTTTTATGGATGAAAAATGAGAAACAAACGGAAGCTAAATCCATGTACCGTTCGATGTGAAAAAAAAAAAATCAATGAGTAGATTGTGATTGAGATTCTACCACTTCCACGTAGGTTGTATAAAATCATGGGAGGTTCCGTACAACTATATCCTATCTAATATACCTAATACGTGTCGCATGTTTTTCACTATTCTAAACCTAATTTCATAAATTCTTTTTGATAATGATTAAACACTTACGTATGCTATCACGACAAACTGATGTCAAAGTTGATCGATCTAATAGTATTTACTTGTCTAACTCGTCTCCAAACTCTTTAAATGAGATTGCGTTTGTTATTTTACTGTCGTAAATAGATAATCCTTAACGTCACGACTTCTTTTTCCTTCAAAATAACCAAGTCCCGTACCTACTTCTTGTATCATAATTCATATACCGTTCCCTTTTAATTGTGATCAATATACCAAAAATTAATATTAACACGTCTATCGTCCAACTTATCAAATTTAACTTACCAAATATGTCCCTTCCAACTCACAACTACCCAAAATGAACCTCTCATTATTATGAAATCAGGACACTTGAAATTCTGTGAGCCATGGGAACCCAGAAAGGAATATTCTTCCACCCGAAGTTGGGGAAGTGCTTTCCCAGTTGGATTATTACAATATTTTATCAAAAATGGCCTAATAAAGCCCTCGTTTGAGCCCCATTTTGAAATAAAAAATTCATTTTAGAATAGTGATTTTGGGATAATGTGTGGTTAAGGAAGGAAAAAATGTTTTCGTGTAAAATTATTTTATTGAAAATGTGTTATTGAAAATAAGTTTTGAAAAAATGGGGCTCAGACCGGTGACCATCCAACTATTAGTTAGACTCAAAACTGACGAAATCCAACGGCAGACATCAATCTTGATTTTCCTAGAGACAAAAAATGAATTTGAGTGGCTTTGCTTTAGCATACCACTACCTGTTGGTAATATTCCAGGAATCAATTTTGTGCACAGGATTCAATTCCAAGGCGCACCTGGCATTTCAATTCCTATATATAGCCGTCTTTCGAGGATAACATTGTACCAAAGACTTTTGAAGCCAAATATATCTTTGAGAAACCTCAAAACTTTTTGAAACCTCCAAAATGGCTGGAATTGCTGTGGTTTTCGACTTCGACAAGACGATAATCGACTTGGATAGTGATAATTGGGTTGTCGATGAATTGGGTGCCACTGATTTGTTCAATCAACTTCTTCCCACCATGCCTTGGAATTTTGTAATGGTGAGTTCTATTTTCAAGATTATATGTTTCTTCACCTTTGAAGTACGCTAAAATAGATAGCATTGAACACGATAAAGAAAAAATGCATTGCATATCGAACATGTTAAATTTTACATGTTCAGTAGAGTCACTCCACATTGTAGTTCGTACACAAGTAAACAATAACATGTCAGGATTAGATGTGTCAATTGGATCGTGCTAGACCACCCCACCCATTTCGAGAGTGGCTCATTCCAACTTCGCGCAGTTGGTTCCTTCAGCTGTTCGCATAGCCCTTGTAGCTTGGTTCACCTTCAGCCATATTTCCCTACAGCTTTTCGACATAGACCTTGTGACTTGGTTCAGCACGGGCCATATGACTCTATAGCTGGCCTATAATCAACCTCTATATCGACCATGCTCATTGTGTTAAGTCACAGGCATTTTAGTAGAGTTACCTTAGATGATGATCCGTTTACAACTAAGGCGTCAATCGAGTCATGTCAGGTGGTTCAGCCCAGCACAGTTTCAAGTCCTTAAGGCCGGCCGGCTCATGACTCGACTTGTTCCGGATGTTTGGGTTGATAATTAGAGGATTTTTTTTAAAAAATTTTGTTGTTCTGTTACCAAATTACAGGACAGGATGATGAAGGAGCTCTATGCACAAGGCAAAACCATAGATGATATTCAAGAGGTACTAAGACGGGCCCCGATTCATCCCCGGGTCGTCCCAGCAATCAAAACCGCTCATTCTTTGGGGTACAAGTTCTCTCTCTGTTAAAATTTTTACATTTCTCTATCTAAAAATTTAACTGTTCTCTTAAAGGGTTTTTTGCAATTTGATATTGAATTTAGGTGCGATTTAAGGATAGTGAGTGATGCAAACCTATTTTATATCGAAACAATCCTCGTTCATCTCGGAATCAGGGATTGTTTTTCTGAAATCAACACAAATCCAGGCTACGTAAATGAAGAAGGGAGGCTCAGAATTTTCCCTTTTCATGATTTTCAATCTTCTTCTCATGGCTGCAATCTTTGCCCTCCCAATATGTGCAAGGTTTGACAGTTTCTCTGTTCTTTATTTTTGTGATATCGTTTAAGACATGTTTTGCTTTATTGTTCTGTTCTGTTCTGTTCTGTCCATTAATGACATATCGTAAGAAGACTTTTGAGTCGAGCGTTGAAAAAAAATGTACAAGTAATTAAAGAAGCTTATTATCTTTGAGATGTCACTTTGGCAACAACTCACAAAATATATATTATATATTCCTTTTCAAAACTAGGGCATGATTATAGAACGGATTCAAGCCTCTTTAGCCAAGGAAGGAAAGAAAACGATGATCTATCTAGGCGACGGAAGTGGAGATTTCTGCCCAAGTTTGAAGCTTAAAGATGAAGATTACGTCATGCCAAGGAAGAACTTCCCGGTTTGGGATTTGATATGCCAGAATCGATCACTTGTAAGAGCAGAAATCCACGAATGGAATGATGGAGAAGAGCTTGAACGCGTTCTCCTCAAACTTATTGAAACAATTTCCCTTCAAGAGAGTCACTCTAAATCGACTTGGTGGTTATCAGTCGATTGCAAGATGGAAACAATTCCGATGACTGCTCATGAGGCCTTGCCCCCAGCCCTCCCAGTTAACCAGTAGTGTACAGTCCATTTTATTGCAATGAGCTAATCCAATAGTGAAGTTTTGGCCGTTGCAATTTAGGTTTGGATCAAATAAGGTTTGTCTAATGTCAGTTCTAATGTCGTGTGTCTTCTGATCATGCAAGAATTAAAGCTTGCATTTTGTTCTCAACATGGAAATCCAAGATTCGTGGAGTAAGCTTCCGATCGGCAAAATTCATAACATGGTCGACAAAGCTTAAATTATAATTTAAATTGGTCGAACAAATTCTAATGTGATTTAAAAATTGATAAAATTTACGAATCCATAAAATGTATGATTTAAAATAAATTTGAGGAAAATTTAATTTACTCACAATCCATAAATTATTAAAAGCACGGCCAAACGAGGACTAAATTACAAATGTAATACGTAATGAACAACAAACGATCATTTGGCTACATTTACTGAAATAAAATGATTCAGCGAGACTACAGTGCAAAAGAAAATTGAAAAATGAAGAATTAAAAGTGAGAACAATTTCACGCTTAAAATTCAAGGACCACCGCCCGGAGACCTCAACAAACTTCCGGAAGCCTCATCGTAGAACAAATCATCTGTCTTCCTCACTATCGCGTGAATAAGCACCACCACCACTCCCACCAGAAGCGCCACCAAAATATTGGTGGTAGCGCGAGTCAAAAGCAGAACAACAATCGTGACAATCGACAGAACAATAAGCACCACCCAATCGGTGATCAGTCTGCCAAATATCACGAGCGGCTCGTCCCGTAAGAAGTACAGGAACAGCCATACAGCCATCATGGCAATAAATACGATAAGCGAAATTGGATGCCAGAGGAGGCTGAGGAAGATGATTACTAGGACAATAATGGCGTAGTTCATCTGGAAATAGACAGCGTTCGTTTTGATTCGAGCAACGATGTCGGAGTATGGTTTCGGGATGTTGAAGGCGTGGAGTTTGAACATCTCCCTCCATGGGCGGCGCTCTCCAAGACCGGCCTTTAGGCGTTCCTTGGCGCGTGAGATGTATTCAAGGTTCATCGGTATTCCGGCAGGCGAGGATGAGGTCGGTATTGTGCCGTATTTTGCCATTTATCTACTTCGCCGAGAGTTTGTGGCGGAGCTACAATTTGCCCAAAGAAAGTGAGTAGGTGGGGATGTTGATAAAATCGGGGAAAGGAGGGCGGTGTAAACGAGGAACGGAAGATGCGATGTAGATAAATTACTAGGAGTAGAAATGATATGGTACGAAGCGGTGCATAGTAACGGGCTGTACTGAGATTGGAAATTTCTCTGTTGTTCGAAGGAGGAAAATATTACAAAATAACCCCATAACTATTCATTATATTAAAATAACCCCTCCATCCGTTTCTAATAGAAGGAACTTTAACAATTTTTATAAAAGTTATCGTTACATAAAATGTGCGACTATAATATTTTAATAGAATTTTATCAAATAAGCACTCAATTTCTTACTGATATATTTGTTATTAATAGAATAAAAGTCAAAACATCAATTGCAACAAAAGTCCCAAACATTTCCATTTGCTGCAGACTATACCTTAATATTTTATTTTTGCGACCACATTTCCAAACATTTCAATTTGACTGCAGTCGAAATCCATTGGACAAAATCCATCAATTAATCTGTTAGTCAACCCTAAAATTAGAAGTTCAACTAAAATTAATAAAATAAGTGGGGGGTAAAATTGCATATTTACATTTTCTATATAAAACTTTAAAATAATTAAATCAAAAATAAGAAAAATAAGAGATGACCGTTCGTCTTCTCCCCCCTCCTACCCCACTGACCACCGCCACCAAACCACCCGACATCGCACCACCCGCCGCAAACCGCCGCCACCACCACCTACTCAAATCTCAAACTACAACGCAAAAATCTCACTCATATCCAAAAAAATTCAAAAAAATTTCAAACGTTTTTCTCCCAACACGAGTGCAATTGGAGCATTAACAACGCCTTGCCATCATGTCCCAACATGTTTATCATCATCATCATTCCTCTTAAGACTTAAATTCAATGTATCACCCCAATCCCGCAACAATTGTTGCTACTACTACTTCATCTGCAAACTATTGTGAGAACCCAAAATTTTGTTGTTGCTCTGGCGTAAATGAGATCATTTGCTGTTGATGATTTTAGTGTGGAAGGAAAAATATTGAATTCATCGCTACTGGAGGTTTAAAATTATCAATGGAAAATGGAAAAGAAACAAGCCTCGAAGATGGAGGCAGAAATCTTACTGGAGTGTTACCCTAACAATTAAAATCGAAAAATGGAGACTTTGGAATAAATTACCAATTTTGGCAAGTTTATAAAAAATTCAATTAATTAAAAAAATTAACAGAAACCTAATTGAAAATCTTGGTAAAACGTCGAAACCCAGATTCTAGTTTCATGAGAAACACAAAAAAAATCCCAAATTCAAGAATCTACCATGAACCAAAAGAAGGATGAGTTTGCACGGTGGACGGTGCAAGGCCAATGTATTTTCTATTTTTGGTTTTGGGGAAATGGTGGGGATGGGGGTGTGTGGTTATGGAGAAGATGAACAGCCTTTTTTATTTTTTATTTAATTATTTTAAAGTTCTATATAAAAATGTAAATATACCATTTTAGCCCCCACACTTATTTTGTTAAATTTAGTCAAACTTCTAATTTTAGGGTTGATTAACAAATTAATGAACGAATTCTATCCAATGGATTCCGACTGCAATCAAAGTGAAGATTTGGGACTGCAGTCGCAAAAATAAAAGGTTAAGCTATAGTCTGCAAAAAATGAAAATATTTGGGAACTCTGCAGCAATTTATTTTATTTTATTTTATTTTAATTCACAAGGATATATGAAATCCTTTTTTCCCTAAAAACAGTCCCCAAAATAGGCAAATACAAATTACATTTGTCGGGTAAAGTCTCTACATCTTTAACCTACCTTACCCATGGCCCAATGTGGGCCCTTACGTCGTGGCAAGGACAAGACCACAAAAAGACGTGTAGACCGCAATAAGACAGTTTTACCCATCAAGTATGTCAATAATTTGTCCAACTCTGCACTTTTAAAAGAAAAATAATGCAATGGTGCTACAATCCATTTTATGTAAGTGACATTAAACTTGAAATTCAATTAAATATAATGTTATAAAACTCATTTAGGCACCGTTTGGTAACCATTATTCTAGAAAAAAATGCATTCTTTATGTCAAATCACGCCTTTTTTGTGGTTGAAAATGAAGGAAAAGTTATTGATGTGATGGAAAATATTATTTTATTGATGAATGTGTGGTTGAAAATTAGTAGAAGAATGAGAATGAAAAAAAGAATGGATACCAA